GTTGGTAGACGTGTCGCCGTCGATGGATATGCTGTTAAAAGATTTTCCGATGGCGGAGACGAGCGCTTGACGGAGTGGGTAAGGGGCGACGGGCGCGTCTGTGCATATTATGCCTAGAAGAGTGGCCATGTTGGGATGGATCATGCCTGCGCCTTTAGTCATACCCGCAATGTGATATTCTTGTTGGGTGCTTGGTAGGGTAAATGTCTTTGAGACGAGCTTGGGGAACGTGTCAGTCGTACAAATTGCGCGTGCGGTGCCTAGCCAGTGTTCGTGCGTATCTCCGAGATTGTAGTATGCAGTCGGTATCTTTGATGTGATTTTGTCAATGGGCAGACGTTGGCCAATGACACCGGTACTCATGACAATGCTTCGGCTTCCTTTCAGGTCATCTTGACCGTTCTTGTCTTGTATGAAGCACTTGTCGGTCTCTTTGCCCATGGATATAGCATCCTCGATACCTCCTCGTCCCGTCACGGCATTGGCGCATCCAGAGTTTACCACCACAGCCCTAATTCCCTCGCCCTTCCTCTTTTTCAGCATATCCCTGCTAACTGTAACTGGAGCTGCCTGAAATTTGTTTGTCGTGAAGACGGCTGCTCCTGCGCATGGTGTATCGGATGCGATGAGGGCAAGATCGTCGAAGCGGGTATTGGAAGCCTTGACACCAACATGGGCACTTCCAGCCTTGAACCCGAGCGGGTATGTGCCCGAAGTCGGTACATACTTCTTCTTCGCAGGTGGGATCACGCCGTCACCTGGCGCAGCATATGTTCGTATTTGCGAGGTGAAGATGCGGTTTGTACGGGTAAGAAAGCGTGGGTTGGTGCGTGTGAGGGACATATTGAGTAACATAGAGCGAGCAATCGGTCGCACTGGATGGAGCCGTCAGATATGTCGTTTGTAAAGTCGCTGTTTGCGACAATCGCGATGATGCAGAAACTCTCGTGAAGACAATGCTCAACGGAGCTCAATAGTAGAATCCAACATACCTGAGGATATTCTTGTGCCCTTTGTCTCTTCTGACTCACTCAATTGACGTCCTGCGCCCTATGAGTCTTGCGATGGAAGCTGCCCAAAAAGTTCAAGGATGCTACCTCCCGCCGTTATCGCTCCCCGCCGATCCCCACGCGAGCCAAGTCGAGTCAGGACCCTTGCGCGTCTAGAGCAACAACGCGCCCAGCGTCGAGCCCAACAAATAACAGACGAGGATCGCGTACCGCGTCATCACAACACGCTCCTTTTGCGCCAGGTAGGGTGCGACGATGAAAAAGATGGCTGCTGTAGGCAGGCTGGCGGGAATTGACATGCGCAGGCCGCGAGCAAGCTGGGCCAACAGGACGTAGCAGTGCCCATCCAAAGCTACGGGCAAAAGGCTGTCGCCGCTGTAAAGGACGAGAAACTGGAAGACCGTAAGCAACAGAGTGGAGACTAGCAATGCGTATTCGATGCCGTCGCGACGGCGTTGGTCGATCTTGTTGATGTAGGCGTCGAGTGTGCGTTCGACAACAGGGAGTAGTGGCGTTTTCTCAGAAGTATAGGACATCATGATTGCTAATTTTTGGATTGACGAGTATACAGTAGTCTGGTTTACGAGGCCCTCTACATGTTATATCCTATCTTCGCGCTTGGGCGGTACATTCAATGTTAGATACCAATGTTGGTTGTCTTGGAATGCACCATGTGAAACAGGCGGACCCAGTTGTTTGACATGGCATCTTGGCCTCATACTCGGTCTCGGTCTTGTTTCGTCAGCCTTACTCCCTTGAAATTACGGATGACGAATAATGAGAACCCAGCGTAACCAAAACATTATAGGCTGTAATAATTAACATTGGCAAGGCATCCGGGAAGCGCCTGCTAAGGAGCTAATATGCGAGCAGTTCCTTGTGTGTATCAAGCTGCGTAGAGCAAGTAGCGTAAACCTACATCTTTGACAAAGTTTTCGCATGTTTGATCTTATCAAAATAGCCTGGTAACATGACATGTTGTTGTACTTTGGCCAAGAAGCGGCTGTTTCGCCAACATTGCGTCACCGTGAATGTGTTCTTCCACCTGCCATCTGCCATTCGACATGTTCTCTTTGTGAAACGAGATATGTCTGCTTCGGTTGCTCCTGGTGTCTCGAAATAGTATGCCCAAGCAGATTTGCCTGTCGCTGATACCACAAGTTCGCCAAGTGCAGTGTGAAGGATAGAGTCGCATTGTTCGTTGACAGCGTCTGACTATGACTGCTGTCCTTTTGTTGGTCTCCCACCAGCTGCAGCAAGTCGTATCTCTTTGATAAGCAGAACCGAACACAACCTGATGAGCAGCGGGAGCCAGATCCACTGCTTCGGAAGTCCACTATTACTGTGTCCTCGTAGAGGTTAGTATTCTGTGCCGTGTGACAAACCACTTTGATCGTATCGGATATATAGAATACTCTTCGTGACTAAATCATTTTCCACACAGTGGAAAGTATGCTTGCTTCATAACATTTCGCACTCTACACCTCGTGGTGACATCTAGGATATGTTGTCTCTGTAAGGTAAAGGACAGAAAAGAGGAACACAGAGAGAGAACAAGAGACTAGAGAGCAGGAGGACGATGCGTCAATGGCTGGACGAACATCTCCCTACAGCGCAAGTGTGTACACATAATTCACAAGGTACGTCATAGCTTCGAAAAGATCAGTTGCCAGAAGTCCCACATGCTTCTCATATTCCACAGATGCACACAATATGTCAGCTCTTTATCTCCTCGCATGCAAGCGCGGTGAGAAACGTGGTTGAAAAAGCTCGTGCACTGTTTCTGCGTTTCAGCCACCGAAAATCACCACGAGCAAATGTCTTACCTTGGTAAACCCTTCGGATGAGAAAGCCGCAAACAAAGACCACGAGGAGAACATGGGCGTTCGGAAGGCCATGCTCAGCCCCAGCCTTATGGGTCGGGACGGGTGGAAGGACGAACAAGGAGACACTACAAATAGCGCACCTGCGCCACGCTAGCCGTCCTGAGACACCAAACATCGGTGTTGAAGTTTAGGCCTTCCGACTTCTTAGAGCATATGTCAATTTGACATCAATCAGCATGCTAGTCGTGTTGATCTGGTCTTTTGCGGTGTCTAAGTAGATGAGCAGGTCAGTGGTACTTAGATATGATGACATTTGTTCGATTGGGTTCTCGTGTTCGCATGTGCGTAGGGAAGTCGGTACTTTACGATAATCTATGCGCGCAAAAGAAAGGTATGTCATGTTCATGCGAATGCAGGTGTTATCATAAGGAGAAAATAATACCTTCGATATCGTGTGTTGTAGTACGTAGGTATGAGCCCCTCTTCTGTACTCAGCAGTATAGAAAAGAAGATACAGCAGCTATTGGCTTCACCATGCATCAATCGCTTCCGAAAGCAGTGTTGTAGGACTGTGTTCGGGATGATTTGCGTTTCATCATTCGACCATCGGGGACCGAGCGGATTGCGTAAATCGATAATAATCGAGTGGTCAGTGTAGTGGCTGTCTTCGAAAGCACGGCTAGGCGGTGCTCGACCGTGCTTCATTGTATTCTACAAAGGCGGCTTTATCTGCTTGGTTTCATGTCCGCGTTCTATATGCGATGCAGGAGACACCTCGTCGACATCCTTAATTCTACCGCCAAAGATACGGGACATAGCATGGCCATATCTTTTACAGTCGTTCATTACTATTTTTAAAATAATTTCATTACTTCATCTTAGCGAAGATACGTCGCCTTCGAACATGAATTCTTTCTTTAATATACCCCATGTGCGGGCTCGCGCAGATACACCAACACCAATAATCTCAACCCTCGACGCCAGCACTCCGAACACACCATCGACTCGACCTTCAATACAATCACAGTCGTTAGCGAGAAAGATAGTCATGGATACATCAACACCGTCATCCCCATCAGCACAACCCACACCAAAAGCAGAAGGAATGCCTTCCGGGACGAAAGTTGGCCTCGCAATGATACCCGTTATAATCGCCCTGTGCGCAATCTGCCTCTTCTCGGTTTTCTGGTGGCGCAAGGGAAAGGCGCGGAGAGCAAGTCAAGACCTGGAAACGCCACCTCCGGTCCCAGAGAAAGACTACGTCACACGCTTACCGTCGCTAAACAGTGACCGGAGAGGAAGCAGGGTATTCAACATGGCCGCATTTAGCACTCACGTCTATGATGGTCGGTACAGAGAAGCGCAGGTTCTCGGTCAAAGCAGAGAGTTCATTCGATCGATAGATCCAGATCAAGATGATGACCGCGAGATGCTGAGGACACCGCCACGCAGCATAAAGTCAGAAAAGGTTCACTCCGGTCGAGATTCGCCAATTGATGGGTCAAGCCCATTCCGACTAAAGCGTGATGACACAGTCAGAAGAAGCTTGGGATCTGAAATATCGGAACTGTGGCCATCACCACCGCCAACAGCCTGGGTCAGGCGGCAAGGCATTCTCGATTCGCTGCCGTCATCGAGATTTGGCCGGGATATGAGTCGGAGATCACAATGCAGCGCTGACTACAAGCGAAGGAGCGATGCAAGCTCTGTATTTTGAGCTACTGGAGAGGCGTTTTGGTTAATAAGTGGTAGAGGGGCGGAAATTAAAATTACGGTAGGTCTTTCCTTATGACTGGACGACTTCCGTAATGGTTCACTATACCCCATAGATTGCAGGCGTCCAGGTTGGGAACACCTTCATTCACTCACTTTTCTCTGTAAACATGTTAACAATTGAATTATTATGTTCTGGTCAATAGACACACCCTATGCTTTTGTTTTGGCCACCATGTTCTCAAATGAGCCCCGGCACATGATCTCTTTGGTCTGTCTGGTTCAGCATCTTGAGGCGTTATGCCTGCTGACAAGGCCTTGCTCAACCGTGCGCGCGTATGTGCGCATCTTTTAAGTCCACCCTGGCAGTATCCGTAACATATCGAAGGCGTGTTCGCCTTGAGTTAAAGTAAGAGTCTATATTCGCACATCATTCTCCTTGTCATGGTGCTCAGTCACTGGAAGCGCATCCTCTGCAGCCGCAGTTTACGCATTGGATTTCCTGGTTCTCCGTGAGCTGATCCCTGGGGACACGGCAGATACAGGTCGATCGGAAGTTTGTCTCTTTGGTCTGAATGCAGCGTGTGCAGCACAGCTGTTTCTGAGTTAGCTTCATCTGGGTTGGCAAGCTGCCTGATTGGAGTTGACTTGCCTTCTCGTAGCCTTGCTTCTTCCACTTGGCAATCAACATAGCGTCTGCATATCCGTTCTTGAGCAGGTAGTCGTATAGCTGCTTGCTGATAGCCTCTTTCTCGTAGTATAGGTCGTATATGTAGCGCGAGCGCTGGTGGGTGATCTGGAAGATGGGCCACGTCATTTCGTACTTCTTCTTGCCCTCGTGGGATGCGTTCTCGGCATCCTTCATCTTGTTCTGAAACTCCAGGAGTGTGTCTTCAATGTCATCGAAGCCCTCTGGCGGGGCCTTGCGTGAGGCGCGTGCGGTGCGGACTGGAGGCATGTCCGGGCTGGTGGTGAAAGGTCGACGGTCACAGGTTTTGCGCAAACGTGAACAAGAGCAGCTTCTATGGCTGTATAAGCGGTCGAGCCTGAAATATACTGCAATGACGTTGCCGGTGTTGGTGGTTTCAAAGAAGAAGCGATCGATAACTTCGCGACTGCGCCGGGAGTAAAATCCGCGCTAACGTCAGGTCTTGGCACTCCACTCCACCCGTGAGCCGCATCGTCACTGCAACTCAAGCTACGAGACGACTGGAAGCTCTGCAACACCGCTAAAATGGTCATCAACCCCACCTACCTCGCTCAGCGCACGCGCTCATGTTAGTCGAATACGCTTACGGAACATTGGGGGAACACAAAGGCTAACGCGGCCACAGCGGTCAACTGGACTGATGCGAAGAAGAGGGTCATTCACAGCTACCGGGACTGGCTGCGGTCGGTACGTTAACTCGCAGTCTTGAGAGGCTTATTAGCTGGAATCTGGGGCTTAGGATCTGGGCATGTATAAGAAAGAGCTGGAATGAGAGAAACGCGTGGCATGCAGAGAAGCGGGCATCAGCATCGCAAAGCCAGGAACCTGGGCTGACAATGATTACGCAGGCTCCCGAAATCCAGACCATGTACTCGCTGAACTTGCCTGTATCCACGCTTCGGACGAAAATGCGGCAGGAGTTCGAGCGGCATCGATACGTGAATCAACTAAAGACGGTAGATGTACTGCTGTTCAACAGTCATCAGGAGTTCCAAGTACACCATGAACCAATACGTTTGATAGTCGAAGAGGATATGCTAACAAGTGTACAGGAAACGCTCAACTTCTGGAAGCAACTGTCGCACGTTCTCAAGTACTTCCGTGCCGAGGAGGAACCCAAGGCCCGGCTACAAAGCAACTTCATCAACGGCTTCCTGGAGGTACGTTTATCTCCTGAGTACATCATCCGGAGTTTCCAGATACTAATGCGTGCGTAGGGTCGCAACTGATTTGGCCATTACTACCAGAGTCCGAGGACAAGCAAGAACAAAATTCGGTGTATATAGCTGAAGTCAATACCAATTTCCTTTCCTTTCGCCGATGAACTATGCTACCCTTTAACGCCAACAATGCAATACTATCATAACACTCGCGTCGCAGTATTACTCCTCCATCTTGTTGACAAAGTCATCTCGTGCAATGGTGAATTTCTGCTCGACGACATCGCACATGTTCATAAGATCCTCAAGACCCTTCTCGAGCACAGTATATACACTGACACCGTCTGGTTACTTGTTAGCTGCGTGGTCAGGAGAGGCTCGTATCTATGGCCTACCGTATGTCTGAATACGCAAGTTCATCTTAGCTTCTGAGGGATGCGGGATAGAGTAACCACAGAATTCGACGTCGGGGCTAGAAGAACATTAACTATTTGCCTGCTTGTACAAGAAGATCCTAAGCTTACTTCTTATGGATTATGTATCTTAGCGCGTTGCCCAGGGTGTGGTCCTCGCCATCGAATTGGAACGATGCAGCCGTCTCCGTCGCACCAGATAGCTACAACAAATTAGACAAATATAGTTACATACTCTACTCGATCTAACGTACAACTCTGATTCTGTCACGGTCGACTGCTGGATCAATCTCCTCGTTGTTCTCAGATGTAGGGTCCAAAATTGGAACTTGAGTTGGTTCTTGCGTGGTGCCCGGCATCTTATGCTACTTCTTGCTATTCGTGGCTAGTTGGTAATAGATGAGAGATGACGCGCTGTGTAAGTGAGAGATAGCGCGCTGAGTTGGTGTTTTCCTAATGTTGATCTTGTATTGGGGGCGTGACTTTGCGATATCAAAATTTTGGGGCAGACTTTGGTTCGGCGATTCGTTGGTTGGCCAGACTTTTTCCAACCCTATATCGCTTGGCGACATGACGTGGGGCGTGGGGAAGCCCCTCTGAATCCGCCTCAACTTTTTGTGCCTTTCCTCCTCCATTGACAACCCCAAATCCCCCGAAACATATACTTCGAACAATACCGCCACAATGCCGCGAACCTGCTGCCTCAACCGCGACACGAACGAGACGAAGATCCAGGTCTCGATAAACCTCGATGGCGGCGACCTCTCACCTTACGAGCATAGCGACTTCTGGGCCGCCTACGACAAGCAGAATCTCAATGGCGAGGGTGAGAAGGTTGACAAGGACCATGCTACCCAGAAATCGGCGTCCCAGGAGATCTCTGTCGACACGGGCATCGGCTTCCTAGACCACATGATTCACGCCATGGCCAAGCACGCTGGCTGGAGTCTGCGCATCCGGTGCAAGGGCGACCTGCACATTGACGACCACCACACGAGCGAGGATGCATTCTTGGCGTTAGGCACAGCCTTCAAGAATGCGTTGCAGGGAAGCACGGGTCTTGCCCGTTTTGGACACGCATACGCACCGCTCGATGAAGCGCTATCACGGGCCGTCATCGACCTGTCGAACAGGCCATACAGTATCATTGAGCTGGGTCTCAAGAGGGAGAAGATCGGTGACTTGAGCTGCGAGATGATTCCCCATTGCCTACAAAGCTTTGCGCAGGCGTCTGGCACCACCCTCCACGTTGACTGCATACGCGGCGACAACGATCACCACAGGGCAGAGAGCGCCTTCAAGGCTCTTGCGGTTGCTATCAGGCATGCGACAACCGTGGTGAAGCAGTGGGAGGGTGAAGTTAGGAGCACAAAGGGCGTGCTTTACTAAACACCAGTATAACTAGATTATACCAATTCAACATCCAGAATTACACGGAGCATCGTTGTGTTGCACCGGAAGCTCATGTCCAATCTTTTCAAAACATCCACAAACAGTCCGATCACTTGTCTTCCGTACACTGGGTACTTGGCTGTCACTGCCAGGCCTGATTGGTCCTTGTGACCTTTTTGGACCCCGGATCGTTCACGACAACGAGCACTAAAATCATACATTACGCCTACAAAGAATCAATCTCTTAGCAATTTAGATGGTTAGAACTCTTGAATTGGTTTTAGACACCGTTACTGGCGAAGATCCATGACGGTAGGTAGGTAAGAACCTGTTTTTATTATGGTCAAGAGATAAATACACATGTACAGCCCAGGGCCGAGCCTACACGCCTTGAAGCTCTGCTGCGGATCGATCATGCATGAGAGGAATTCCACGGTTCGGCTTGGTTCGGTGCCAGTTCATATGGGTAAGGGGCGGAGCAGGAATGTTTCAGTCGCAATGACAGGTTTGCTGAGCAAGTTGTACATTGGTCTGTAACACTAAAGATAACTACGACGCCTGTGTTACCGGCGATGTCGTCACACATTTCTCTAGCTACGTTAATGTCCAGTGTCTATAGGAAGCGCGGGACACACCCATAGGGGTTCAACGTCGGTGACGTTCAAGAAGGAGAAGGACGCGATGCGATGCGATACGACATGCCGCGAACCAGACTTTGCCTAGCGGACTAAGCAACCGGCTCTAGAATGTGTTGTCTAACACAAGCGACTATACAGTCAAACCTCATAACAAAGAGAGATAGCAAATATATGAGGAGTGCTCCTTACCTAATAAGAACATCATAGCAATCATCTGGAAGTACATAAAATTCTTCAACATTCAATAGAATGAGATCATGTTCGAAAAACGGACAAGGTACTTTCATTGTGTTCAAGGATATCTTTGATGGCTCCATGACGCCTGCAATGCAACAACACTTGTGTAAATCCAGGCTAATATACAGAATAATAATGCTCAAAACCTGAACCATATATGTAAGACGGATGCAGGTAGGGTCTAGGGGGGAGGAAACATACCTTATCTCATAATTACCCGCTCTCGTCATGTAGCGCACCCACTTCACACTGCTGTAGTTGCTCTTCTCAAAACCTTCAGATATCGCACAAGCAATCCGGAGCTCGTGAACATCAGCAAGGAGAAGCTCAGATTGAGCGGTGGCCGTGACCAGGCCTTCTGGTTGGTCATGCTCGTTAAGCTGGCCTCGGCACTGAGGACGAATTCGCTTTGCCCGGTAAACCTTGGGATCTTCCAGACAATGTTGTTGTGCTCCGGTTCGTACTTGGCTTTGCCTTGTGATGTCCGCTCGGTGATACGCGCAGTGTTGAGGGGTGTTGGTATTCGCACGACGACGTTTGTAGCGAAAAGCTTGGAGCCGTAGTTGGCGCGTATGGCAATGCTGTATTCGACCTTCGTTTTGCCAACCTCATTGACAATGGCATGCACCTTGAAAGGCAGATTGACGTTCTCAGTCGCCCGGTAGCGCATTAGCTCGAACTCGCCATCCGGCGGAACGAAGGATATTATCCTGTCCGCATCAAACTTGCCCAGCTTCACGCATTGATGAAATTGACAGTCTTCCAGCGTAACGCTTCCCGCTGCTGCCCTGGTAGCCTTCGCGCCTGCCTTGTTTCCCGATGGTTGTTGGAGATGATCTTCGCCTAACGTTAGGCGGTCGTTGAGGCCGAATTTGCACTCTGGTGTGCCTGAGAGATATGCGCGCATTATGATCTGCCCGTTGACGTCGGCTCGCAGTACTGTTCCTGTCGCGGACATGAGCAGGTTGACGTCCTCGATTACGTCGACGAAGGCTTCGTTCTTGCGGTACTTGATGTCGGCACGCCGCCAGGAAAGAGCGCCGGTGGCCTGCATTGTGATCTTCGACGAGTCCTCCTATGGTTCTGTCAGCTGTGCTCTGGCCGTGTTGGACATGACCTACCATAGCCCTTTCCGACTTGACACCTTCAGTTGTGATGTACATCTTCAACGTGTCTGTCTCGGTGTTCTGTGGGTATCCAAAATCCAGAATCTCATCTAGCAGCTCATAAACCAGTACGAAGTTGTTCTTCACGGCCTCCTCGTCAAACTTGCCGAAGTATGCCTTGCCTAGTCCCACCAGACGGTACAGAAACTCAAAGACCAGCGCTGCATTGGCATTGCTCTTCGTCACGGCGACTAGATATATGTTTTCGTGTTTGACATGGCTGAAGGTGGTCGAGCCAAGGGTGAGAATGGGCGAGCGTACTTGGGCGTTGGAGATGACCTGAATTCGGAACACATCGGCAAGTCGCGGGCGGCAATCGTTGCGGAAGGCGCGAAAGATGAGGTTCTCACCTTCTGGTTGAAGATAAGGATTCCGGAGAGCATGGCGGCGACGTGGAGGGGACAGCGGACGTCGGCAGGGAATTGGCTGCTTCGGCGTGTTGATGCTTGGAGCTCCACTCGCGACGCCGCGGGATTGAGCTCGGACCATATTCGCTTGTAGTAATTAGGGGTCTTAGGGACAATCTTCATCTAGTTCCAAATAGAGCGGCGATGCTGGAGCTCTTGTCATTTCAATGGTCCAATCTTGTCGAGTTGAATGTTCCTGTTCAATCGTCACACCTACAGCCGTCTCTTTTTATCAGACACATCAGAATACCACTGGTTTCGCCCGTTGTTTTTTGACCGAAAAGACGACTTCGAAATTGAGAAAGACTGGAGTGGGGAAGTTGACAAAGAAGAGACGGGGTTGCTTGCTTAGTCGCGGTCATCTGGTGAAACATAATAGAAGGCACAGGCACGTAGAAAGACTAAGTTGTTTAGATCAACTTTGGTTCACACTGATATTGATTTAATCTGATGGAGTGCCTCAGGCTGCGAGTAGCAATCCAATGAACATCATCTTCGTAAATCATGTGAAGCAAAGGCCATCACATAGTTGTTAGTTGCCTATGTTGTCTGACCATGGTTTCAGCATTACAGGCTCCTGAGGATCCAGCTTTGCCATCAAAGAAGTGTATCGCTCCGCTGTAAGGCTTCTTTTGATCTCCTCCATCCTTACACCGATCTCATGGCGCTTTTGATACAGGGTTGCGTACTCATTTTCTAGCATGGTGAATTGACTAACAGCAGGTGTCCCGTGGGAACCCTCCGGTGTAGCCTTGATTTGTACGCTCTTCTTGACACTAATGAGTGGTGAGCAAAACGTATCTACGTATCCAAGAACTACCACTTACTGTGGCCTTGACCCTTGTCGTGGTTCAACAATATTCGGTACTAGACCTGCCGACTCTGACACACTCTCCGACTGACTCAACCCCGGCTGCCCATATCCCCCGTCAAATTGATTTGTTGGAACCGGTCGCGGATGAAAGTGAGCTCCGGACTTTTGCGTATATGGGTCTATGGTAGTCGATGGGTAGTAACCGTAGTAAGATGACTGCGTCGGTAAGAATGGCGAAGAGCCGTAGTTGCTACAATTAGAAGGAGCTGTTTCGTAACCAGGAAATTGTGTTCTATGTATGGTCTGGGGACCTCCCGAGTGTGATGGCCGAGGGGGAAATGGGTAGCGGTCGTCTACTGTAGGATGATATTGTGGTTTCGCACTTTGCAGATTTTGGACAGGGTCAGAATGGTTTCGATCCTTTCGCCTAAATTGCCGCCCGTTGCCAGAATCGCCTGCCATGGTCTCGTTCTGTTGCCCAGCGAAGGGTAGGTGTGTGCCGCGAACTTGAGATAGTAAACTCTTGTTGATAGCAGCAGAGGGCGTCGCAGTGATGAAGCTAGCACGATTCCGCTTCTATGAAGCTTTCACTGCTTTAGCTTGCTTTACTCCCATGAGATCATTGCAGGCAGCACGCAAATGCTTCTGCCACACTTCAGTGAACTTGAAACCGGGGCCCTCATGGTACAGACCCACCTCGAAGCCGAGCTGAAAGTAAAACTTGGTGACAGCGATACTTCGTTCTGCACTAACCTCTCCGCTGAAGGGGAAAGTGAGGTCAGATACTTTCCCGAAATACTTGACATCCATAGGCGGCCAGTGACCTGCTTTGATCTCGCCGTTAAAGATCTCCATCTTGAATTGCGTGTTCTTTCCAAAGTTCTTACTTTTGGAAAGGTACACGCATGCTGGGTCCCGTCGTTTCTCTCCGTTAATGTCCCACTTCACTTCTCCGACATATAGCTTGAACGCGTGCGCGTCGCGATAACCATCGTCGGTGAAAATTCGATGGCGGTCATTCTGTTCGATGAGGGACATTTATGTAAGAGTGGGAAGCGCTTCTATCTGTTCATCCAGAAGGTCGAAATTCTCTTGTAGCTTGATGAGAGCGTTCTTGAGCTGGAAGAGATCACATAGTAATGTTTTGGAAACTGTTTCATCGCTGCTCTCGTAATCATCACTCGAGTCGCTCGCATTGCCGAAGTTTGTCATCTTACTTATATCAAGATCTGCAGACTCATGTCACAGCTTGCGAGAACGTCGTTAGGTATAGCTTATAATTCCCCTATGATTTACGCTCAGCCATGTGTACCAATTGGTATCAGGCGACAATCATACAAGCGAGAGGAGTTTAGTCATCAAGTCTTAGCGTTGTCATAAAATCTATAGCCTTATAGTAGGGATAAAACACGCATTATCAACGCAGAAAGACGCTCTTTACATGGAACTAAGAGCCTCTAACAATCCAGAAACCTCTTCTACAACTTCCTCAACGCTCTTTCCAGCATCAACAGGCAGCACATCCGTCTCTGATACATCCGCGATCTCCCAGATAGCAAGCTGGCTCTCCACCATATCTTCCTTCATGTAATGGCCACCCCTTTCTTGCATTCTCCGCGTCAGCTTTTCCTGCTCAACTTGCAAATCCACAAAGACAACTCGTACTTTATCGTTCATTAGAGTCCGAAACTGATCACGGTACGACTTCTTCAAGGCTGAGCAGGAAAGGAACACACGCCCATGACCTTCATTGGCGACAGTATCGAGTGCGCGCTGCCTGAGGCGGGCGAGCCAAGGGGCACGGGCGAGGTCATCGAGGGTGTGCCGGCAGCCATTGATGCAACAGCGTCTTCACTATGTAGTTCATCACCTTCGATAAAAGGTGCTTTGAAGTGGGCACCGAGGTGTTGTGCAACAGTGCTCTTACCGCTGCCACATGGTCCGGCAACTACGACGACCTGCTTCATGGGTTTCGTTGCAACTTTGGGGTAACGTAGTTGCCAAGAGGTAGCTTGGAATTGTTTAACAAACGTCTTCACGAATGACGTATCTAGCACAGGTGCGGCATCGAGCGAAGGTGAGAGAGATCTGGCGACGCTGGTCTCGTATGTACGCGAAGGGCCGAAAGTATCCTTGTCGTACTTTGATGCGAAGAAATCAGCTAGTTTGATCGGTGGGTTGGTCACAGCATCCTGATTTGACTCGCGAAGCCTGCGCACCCATTCCTTTGGCTCAATCTCATCGAACTGGAGGCCAGCTTCTCGAAGGGCGGGGAGTAGATCATCGGTCCAGGAAAAGCTCTTTGCGTTGGTAACATTCGCCACCACGGAGCCAGCGTCACTGAGCGAGATCTCTGTCACGGCTTTCGCGACAATATCAACAGGTGTCCAACTCGGTGATTCTTGCAGTCGAGGTAGCGCGCCGACAGTAAGTGCAGACTGCATCATAAGAGGTATGGCTTCAGTCGCATTCCACACGCCATGCACAGTGTCCGCGACAATCTGACCAACGCGCAGAACCCGTGCTCGAATACCAGTCTCCTTTGCCGCAGTCAAGCACAAATGCTCCGCGACGCATTTGCTTTGAGCATATCCCATGTCTTGGGCCCAGTCAAGCGCTGCTAGCTGCTCAGGTGTGTGCATATTGGGGCACCTTGCGACAGTGCTGACGGAAGAACAGAAGTCGAAAGAGGCAGGCTTGATCGACGATGTAGCAAGGCAGAGGTCGATCAGATGTCGCACGCTAGCAATGCAGTCCTTCTCGAACGACATTAGACTCTTGTTGAAGTTGACGCTCCACGCGCAATGAATGACATTAGCAAGACCTGAGGTCACCTGGGCATATGTCGTGTCGTCCAAGCCGAGGCGGGGCTCAGATAAGTCGGAAGGTATGGCATGGATCTTTCTGCGCGCGGTGAGCGATAGGGTATGGTATAGTTTTCGCTGTATGAGGGATTCTCGGACACGGCGAGCTGCAATCGCGTAGTCTCTGGCTCGTACAAGGCAGTAAACACTGTCGATGTCCGGACGTTCGATTAACTGTACAAGAACATGAGCACCAAGCGAGCCGGTCGCGCCAGTAAGTGCAGTTTGTCGTCTATCAACTGGCTCGAACATGCTGTATTGCGCGATAAGATCTTGCATCTGCGCGACCACTGATACAACCTCCTCCTCTTGCCCAGTCTGGAGTCTGTAGAGATATGTCGCAAGGGTTGCGATTGATGGATGCTCAAATACTACGTTCTGACCAAGTTTGTTGTCACCGAAATCGACGGTCTTGAGGATATCCATCCGAATTTGGATCGACTGTAGTGAATCCAGCCCCAGCGAGAAGAGGTCTGTGGTACGTTCGATGTTGCTTGCCTGCAGCAGAGATTTGGCCAGGATCGTACGTAAAAGGTTCTCCATCTCCGAAACAGTGAATGTTTTGAGATCCCCACGAGATGATGCAGCGATATCATAGGCGTCATTTATCTCAGTAGCGAACTGTTTGTAAAATGCTTGTCGGATTACACTGCCTTTATCGGTGCGTGGGAATTGACAGCCATATGGCAAGATTTGGATCATATCCCTGGAGATCCTTGCGTACGCTTCGGCTGTCTGATTTGCAGCTTCAATGACGGGCCATATTTCGTCAACAACTCTTGATGATTGCATACCCTCAACTGCTGGGACCACAAGAATTCCAAGGTATGGTCGGCCAGAGCCAAAGACGACCGTCTCAGTCACAGCTCGATGTGACCGGATGGTCCCTTCCATCATGACTGGATTGAACTTTTCGCCGTTCACCAAGACGATCGTATCATCGAGACGCGCAATATATTTCCAGGCTTTTTCGATCGTAGGGTGTGGTTCGAACAAGTCTTTCGTGGCGTAACTGCCGTCAGGTAGATTCGAGGCAACCTTCGCTGGCCAACCTGGCAAAACCGTACATTCATAGAGATTGGGTCCGCGGGGTACCCATCGAAGATACGGGGATAGTTTCGGTGATTCGCGAACATAATTCCATACCTTATCATCGGCAGGTCGAAACGATGTCATGAGTTGGCCGACTTCAGTACTGCTTGTTGTAAGCTTGTGTATGACATAAAAAACACAGGAAAAACTCACGCGCCATAGTGACCCACAAGATTAACCCCGTTGTTCACTAGCAAGTCGCCCAAAGTGTCTGGACAAGCACTTCCACCATACATGACAATCTTGAGTTTCTTCAATAGCTCTATTCCCTCATCCGTTTCAGAGAGAAGCTTGAGAGCGTATGGTACGCCG